GCCACGCGAGTCTGCTGTAGTTGTACCCAGCGTCGTCAACTTCCCTTGTCAGGGCTGTCAACATTACAGCAACAATCCCACACGTTAGTTTGTCGCGTTACCTGACAACCCTTTCCAGTAAGTCAGAAAATTTGTTCATGTTGCTGTTCAAGATGTTATCTAAACGGACACAGCCCAGAAACACTCGACTTGCAATAGTTTGCCATTCGAACTTACTCAAATTTTGCTGACCATAATATCTTAATCGAAATTAATCCCTCCAATACCATGCATTTTTTCGACAATGTCTTTCGTAAGGAACATTATGAAAGTCTTTGCTAAAGCGAAGGAATATAATGTTGCAATTGAAAATAAAATAGAATATCAAATGACTTCAACGTCAGATGCAATAATTGCTAAATATAGCCAAAATGCGTAAAAGAGCTTTCATATCTAACAACGGCAACACATGGCAAACATTAGAATGCAATTTTGCTTCTTAAATTCTAAAAAAAATTCAAAACAATCCATACAGCCTACATAAAATTTTTAAATGTTGCCCCGAGGGGCGAGTTTATTGGGCAGCGCCACTCATCTTGTGTGTGGACACACCGCCATAGCAGCATGTACAACACTCTCCAATAGGAAGAAAACCCGCTATACATAAGTCACACAAAAGAATACGCAGCACCGGCATGGAATCCGTACCTTATGAAGCATAAAACACAAAAATTAAGAAAAAGACGCAGAAACAACAGCCCCAAAATGAAGCTGCGAGAACAGCTTAAGAGACCTAAATCTCGACCCGAGAGGAATAAAAATACAGTGCGCATACAATCAAAACATACAATATACCCAGGGGAACAGATGGGATGGGAACAGATGGGATGGGAAAGGACAGCCTCTTTATAATATAGAAAAGGTAGAACTAGAGCACAATAGGTGCAAGCTGAAAGCACAAACGAGTCGAAAGTAGTAAAGGAATACTGGTACCCGGTGAGAGTGGTAATCAGTTTGACTGCCCCGCAAGAAGTTGTGGAAGCCACCTCCATCCACAACTTTAAGACCAGATTCGATAAAGAATTCGAACACTATTCAAGTTAAATGTAACACGACAGCTACGAGAAGGGGAGTAGGCGAGGTGTAAACACCTAGACCTCACTCCTCCGTAGTCACTGATAGACAGGCAGCAGCAGCAGACCTAGCTCAGAAGCAGCAGCAGTAGCACAAGCAGCAGCAGAAACAACAGCACTAGCACAAGCAACAGCAGCAGAAACAACAGCACTAGCACAAGCAACAGCAGCAGCAGCAGCACAATCAGCAGCAGCACCCAGGCAGCTCACATAGTCATAAAACGCTCGTAAAAAAGGATCAATCTGCATTAAATTAAGAATAAGTCCTTGAGCACTTTAGTAGAGGAATAATGAGAGAGACGCGAGACTGAAGGACGGAGAATGAAACAATGACAACTATAGTGAGAATGAAGACTACAGAAAATATCACGAAAACGCCACCGACTTAAGATGATACCAAGTCCCCAAACGACCCTACTGACACAAAATATAAATTGATATAATTTGCGAGTCTCCGAAAATAGGGACTACACAAAGACTAACATAAAAAGACTAAGTACAGTTACAGCGTCTTACGTTCCTTTCCCCCCTTTCTTTTTCCCTTCGAAACTGAAGTCCCTCTTCTACCTGTTCCTGATACCTACTTAATTACCTACCTGTCTGTACCTAAGGTTCCTGCCTACCTGCCTTCACACTTGCATACATAAACAAATCCATTCAACTGACTGGGTCTGTCCACTCACTGCACTCAGCACTCACTCTCTTACCACCACTCGAGCCTTTTGAGTTTCTCCACCTTTCCCATCCCCCATCTCTTCCCCTTCCATCTTGCCTCCTTCCCGCCTCACCCACACACCCCGAGGGGAGCGGAAATGTAAGGGGATGTTGCAGGTAAGAGGAACAGGCATGGGTTAGGGTCGAGGGGTGGGAGAGGGGGGGATGGGAAAGAATGGGGAGGGAAAGGACGGGGGGGGGGGGGTAAGAGAGATGGGGGGGGGGGGGAAGAGTTCGACAGCAGAGGGATGGGGGTCTACACCTGGCCCCGAGGGAAGAGGCAGACAAGGAAAACCGGTTAAGGCTCAGGTAATACCCCTGTCCTTTCCCGGCCCCACTTCACCTGAGGAAAGCTAAAGGGAGAGAGAGGGGAGGGGAAGGGGAGAGAGAGGTGGGGGGGAAAGGGGAGGAGAGGGGAAAAGGGGGGTGGGGGAGAACCGCTCAGCCCTCCTGAAGACGGACAAGGGGAGAGAGCAATTAACTCATTCTGAGGGGAGAGTGGCGAGGGAGTTTCTGATGTAGACTTTAGAGAATTTTGTCCACCTCCACGAGGGGTTTCTGGAAATGTGCGGCTAATTGGATTCCAGGGACGGCGAGTGAGTGAGTGGTTGGGCGCGTCTGCATTCTACCAACATGCAAACTCGTGACCTCTGCTACCTCACTCCCCTCCCGTCCCTCCCACGTCACCACTATCACATCCCGCCAGCCCTTACGTACTACGTCGCCTCACCTCTCATCCGCCCAAACCTCTCAAGAACTTTCCGCGCACAGATTATAGGTTTTACCGTAGACAAGAATTAAATGTAATAAAAATTAGCTTTATATATATATATATATATATATATATATATATATATATATATATATATATATATATATATCCTACTCTGCCAAAGCACAGGGGATGGCACTCGAGGCATAGTGAAGTCAACGACATCATCAAGAGGAGCCTCACCACAGCTGGATGCCCAGCTGAAAGAGAGCCCCGTTACCTAACGCCCCGTAACTCTGATGCTCTTATTGGTCGCCCGGATGGTATCACAGTGAACCCATGGAAGAATGGCAAGCAGTTGGTGTGGGACTATACGTGCGTATCAACCACCTACATTGACTTCAGTATTGCACAACCAGGTGGTGCTGCCACTCACAGGGAATCAACCAAATCCCGTAAGCACAGAGAGCTGGATCGCCACTACAATTTTGTCCCCATTGCTTCTGAGACACTCGGCGCCTGGAGTAAGATTGCCACCAGTTTCTTTAAGGAACTGGGTTCTAGGCTAATTGAAACAACAAGAGACCCTAGAGCTCCCAGCTTCCTTTTCCAGTGCCTCAGCGTGGCGATACAGAGGGAAAATGTACACTGCATTCAGGGTTCCTGCCCGCCGTCTGAGGAGCTGGAGGAACTCGACAACTTATAATAATCATCTTTGTACCCTATATCTAACTCCTTTTTTGTAGCAAGATTTAAATAAAACAAACGTATATGTGTATATACAAAAGAATGTGGGTGGTAGGAGAAGAAAATATTAAAGTGTTCAGTGAGAATCCACAAGGTCTGCTCTGAATACACCTTATTTTCTTCTCCGAGGCTACAGGTCCCCACATTTGCACTAGAGGTGGTACTCAACTTTTTTTTTAAAGGACTAATATATGTATATATATATATATATATATATATATATATATATATATATATATATATATATATATATATATATATAATTTTCACTTTTGTCTATGACATTGTTTTGAATGTGGTTGACATTTGATCCATTGTCCTGAATGTATGCTGGTGAAACCTTTTCTCTAATATTTATGAACCACAGCTGGAATTTGGCCGAGCTAAAGATTAATCAGGTGAAGTGGGCGTGGCGTCTTGAGTAGTGTCGTCATCGTTGGCATCTTCGTGTTCCGGTGTGTTGTTACTCTCATGGTGGGTAGAGTCAACACTTCCCTTATTTGGGGATTTATGGTGGTGTTATTGGCCTTTTATATTGACCAGACCACACACTAGAAATTGAAGGGACGACGACGTTTCGGTCCGTCCTGGACCATTCTCAAGTCGATCGGACCGAAACGTCGTCGTCCCTTCAATTTCTAGTGTGTGGTCTGGTCAACATACTTCAGCCACGTTATTGTGACTCATCGCCTGCATATGGCCTTTTATATGAATGGCTTCGAGAATTTGTAGTCTTCTAACATCCTCACTTTTGTCTTTATGCAAGTATTGTTTATTTGAATAAAAATGCACTATTAGGTATAAATATCACAAAAGAGATGCAATTGATCCTCAACAAACTACAAATGATAACCATATTGGGTGATCACAGCTGCTATACTGACCCTTCCAAAATCAGGAAGGACATGCATCGCTCACCAACCTAAAAGCTGAAATTCTAGCCTGAATGACCAAGAACATGACAGAACTCCCTGTCACACACGTAGCTCTGTCACTCAGTCTAATCCACTCATGCAACAACTGCTCTCTACTCCCTCACTCCTTACACTGGACAAAATAATAATCAACAAAGCCTCCAACACTTAAAAGACTGAAATACTGAACAACTGGCCATTGAACGTGCACACATGACAATCAGAACAATGTCATTAACAAAACAGCCTTTTAAACCCTACGAAACTTTAAGCAATCAGACAATGTCAACTTAACGAACACACACTTGCCTTACTCCTCGAGGGCCTTCGGTGTCGAGGATGAATATATAATTAACCAGCACCTTAGTCATGTATAAGTTTATGGAAAGTAAATGGTAAACAAGTCGAGGACGACATGGGTTGAGACTCTTTAAGAGACAACAGTAGTCAACTACAGATATAACAAAGATGTAAAACACTAATTACTGCGAAGATATGCCATCCCCTCTCACACATCCACACTACCTGGTACAGAGATATCACCTGGTACACAGATGTCACCTGGTACAGATATCACCTGGCACAGATGTCACCTGGTACAGAGATATCACCTGGCACAGAGATATCACCTGGCACAGAGATATCACCTGGTACACAGATGTCACCTGGTACAGATATCACCTGGCACAGATGTCACCTGGCACAGAGATGTCACCTGGCACAGAGATATCACCTGGCACAGAGATATCACCTGGCACAGAGATGTCACCTGGCACAGCGATGTCACCTGGCACAGAGATGTCACCTGGCACAGATGTCACCTGGCACAGAGATGTCACCTGCCACAGAGATGTCACCTGCCACAGAGATGCCACTTGGTACAGAGATGTCACCTGGCACAGAGATGTCACCTGCCACAGAGATGTCACCTGCCACAGAGATGTCACCTGCCACAGAGATATCACCTGGCACAGAGATGTCACCTGGCACAGAGATATCACCTGGCACAGAGATGTCACCTGCCACAGAGATGTCACCTGGCAGAGATGTCACCTGACACAGAGATCACCTGGCACAGAGATGTCACCTGGCACAGAGATGTCACCTGGCACAGAGATATCACCTGGCACAGAGATATCACCTGGCACAGAGATATCACCAGGCACAGAGATGTCACCTGGCACAGAGATGTCACCTGCCACAGAGATGTCACCTGCCACAGAGATATCACCTGACACAGAGATGTCACCTGGCACAGAGATATCACCTGCCACAGAGATATCACCTGACACAGAGATGTCACCTGCACAGAGATATCACCTGGCACAGAGATGTCACCTGGCACAGAGATGTCACCTGCCACAGAGATGTCACTGGCACAGAGATGTCACCTGACACAGAGATATCACCTGGCACAGAGATATCACCAGGCACAGAGATGTCACCTGGCACAGAGATGTCACCTGGCACAGAGATATCACCTGGCACAGAGATATCACCTGGCACAGAGATGTCACCTGGCACAGAGATGTCACCTGGCACAGAGATATCACCTGGCACAGAGATGTCACCTGGCACAGAGATGTCACCTGGCACAGAGATATCACCTGGCACAGACATGTCACCTGGCACAGAGATGTCACCTGGCACAGAGATGTTGTAACACCACTCTATTGTACCACCACCCTAAAATGTACCACTATAATGGAACACCACTATAATGGAACACTAAACTATCCTGAGTAACACTTCCCCATTGGTTGCCCTTGGTAACACTTATGAGCTGACATATGATGGTTACACCGGAACCAAAGGTACACCGCCAATAAGGAAATGCTAACACAAAGATTAAATACGCTGCCACCATCTGCCTTTGACCATTGAAATTATATCAAGCAACGAGGCAAGAAACATTGCTTGACTAGGAGAGTACTTTCTATGACTGTCATTAATTTTGAAAACGGTTGTCAGCCACTATATCCAAAAGGCTAAGAGGATTCAACAATTGACACAGACGGGAAATTTCACGTAAGTTTATTGAGACCAAAATTATGTCAATCACCAATTATAAATCCTACCCTAACACTGGCAAAAAGTTAAGAAATTTGGACATGGAACAAAAACTCGGAGATCACACACATTACCTTAAGCTATCTGTCTCTCCCTGGCTGAGATGTTCTTCACAGCCCCGCTCTCGATCCCGGTGTACCGCCCTCTGCTCTCCTATGTTCCTACAGGCCCTCTATATACAACCCCCACAGGGGGGAGGGGGAGATCTGCTGTTGCTACCCACCAAAAGTGTACAAACACTCAAGAAATATTTCAAAAGCTTGTTTGACATTCACCATACACTCTTCAAGAGAGGAGTTATTAATTACGTGTGTGGCTGACCTCTGACCTGGCCAAAAGGGGGAGATCCAGGGATGTTTACACATAAGAATCTGGAGTCTAATTTCCTTGCATGAAATATTACATACTTGAAACTATGCTGACTAAGACTAACCCAGGAATTTTTAATCAATATACAAGATAAACCGGAGGTCATCTGGGCTGACCTCTTGGAGAAGGCTTCCCTGGGTGTGAACTCTAAGGGGGGGGGGAGGTCCTGGGTGTACAGCTCCCTTTTTAGGGTGGTGGTACAATAGAGTGGTGTTACAATGTCACCTGGCACAGAGATGTCACCTGGCACAGAGATGTCACCTGGCACAGAGATGTCACCTGGCACAGAGATGTCACCTGGCACAGAGATGTCACCTGGCACAGAGATGTCACCTGGCACAGAGATGTCACCTGGCACAGAGATATCACCAGGCACAGAGATATCACCTGGCACAGAGATATCACCTGGCACAGAGATGTCACCTGGCACAGAGATGTCACCTGGCACAGAGATATCACCTGGCACAGAGATGTCACCTGGCACAGAGATATCACCTGCCACAGAGATGTCACCTGCCACAGAGATGTCACCTGGCACAGAGATATCACCTGGCACAGAGATATCACCTGGCACAGAGATATCACCAGGCACAGAGATATCACCTGGCACAGAGATATCACCTGGCACAGAGATATCACCTGGCACAGAGATATCACCTGGCACAGAGATATCACGAGGCACAGAGATATCACCTGCCACAGAGATGTCACCGGGTATACGACCCTTTCATTTACAATATAACACAGATGAGTGACCAAACGATCCCCCGTGTGTCTGGGGGTGAGTAAGGTCACCACGACTGGACAAAGTGCAAATTTTGTGAGGGGGAAGAAATGGAATCTAACTCAACCTTTACTAACTGAACTGTAGTAAATTTGAGGCGCTAAGTTAATCACCAATAAAATGATTTACCACTGGCAGATGAAGCTAGTTTAATTGATCAACCGTCTGCAATGTTGCTTACACACTTGCAAGAAGCCGTGACGACGTGGTATGTAAATTACCAGGGGTCGAACCACTCCTCAGTGGCCATAATAATATTCCATCGTATCAAGACCTAAAACTCCCTATAACTCCATCAAATAAAACCCCCTTAACAGCCCAGAACCCAAACCATCCCCAATCGCATCTACTCTCCACCTCTGGGCCCCAGGCAGTGACCCATCAAACCTTAACCTCTTCCAGGCCAATTAAGACCACAAATTGCGCTTATAGCCCTAACTCACTCACCCCTCCACCACCCAGACACCATCACGCACGAGCGCGCGCGTACGCCCTTACGACACCTTTATGCTAATGACGTCTTTCTCTTTCATAAAAAAAAATACAAGAAAATGTGAAAGGGGCCATCAGTCTTCAAGAGGAAAAAGTCTGATGTGCCTTTTCAGTTTTCCTCCCATTACGCCTTACCCACTCCCCCCCCCCCCACCCTCTTCCCCCTTCCGTCCTCTCCCACCACTATCCCTTCACCACCCTCTCCAGTGTTTTTTATTCCTCGCATTTGTGTTGTAGTTGTTCTACTTTACTCTTCAACAAGACATCTTCACTTCCTCTCACCGTCATCTATCCACTCTTGATGCCACCCCCCCCCTCCCATCTCCCTTCCCATATTTGTTGGCACTTCTTATCTTTCTCACTCTCCTTTCTTAATTAGTCTTACTACATCAGCCCATGTCCCCGCCCCACTTAAGAGCGCAAATGTGTGTACTTTAAGAGAAAAACAAGGTAGTGTGTGTACGTGGGTGTGGATGTGTGTTTTTTCCCTCCATTATATATATATAATTATATATATATATATATATATATATATATATATATATATTATATATATATATATATATATATAATATATATATATATTATATATATATATATATATAATATATATATATATATATATCTATCTCCCCCGAGGACCACGCCACACATGGGGTCTGAGCTACAAATCACAGCGAAGAAACAGCTTTCCTCCAAACGCCTCTCATACGACAACAAGTTGTACTTGCTAATGTGTTAAACTTGACTGGTACTGCTCCAGCTGGACGCTTAACAAGGTAAATGGCAGTAACACTATGTGTGGCTGCTGCCAGGCAAGACCTGGAAGAGTTGAGGTGCTGGGACTACCTATGGGAGAGGGGGAGAGGGGGGGGGGGGGGGGGGGGGAGAGGGGGGGGGGGGAGAGGGGGGGGAGAGGGGGGGAGAGGGGGGAGAGGGGGGAGAGGGGGAGAGGGGGGGAGAGGGGGGGAGAGGGGGAGAGGGGGGGGGAGAGGGGGGGGGGGGGGGAGAGAGGGGGGGGAGGGGGAGAGGGGGGGAGAGGGGGGGACGGGGAGGGGGGGGGTGAGGGGGGGAGGGGGAGAGGGGGTGGAGGGGAGAGGGGAGATGGGAGGGGGGATGGGGGATGGGGGTGAGGGGGGGAGAGGGGGAGGGGGGGGAGGAGAGGGAGGGGGGGGGAGAGAGGGGAGAGGGAGGGGGGGGGAGAGAGAGAGAGAAATGGGGGAGGGGGGGGGGGGAGCTTCCCAAAATTTCGGTTTCGGCTCCTACGGGTTTTTCCTCACCCGATTCATCACGTCAATGTGATTTCCTTGTATATTTGCCACGAATCGTAAGTGGTGGCACTCGTGGACCACAGCCAGAGTGCCTGGGCGGGCAATGTGTGAAACCCAAGATTGGGCTTCAGTTGGAAGCCTCAGGGACCCTATAGGATTCAGTGGAATCCCAGGTTGCATTGTCTTTTACCAATGTATAGGGCGTTTGTCTGGGCGTACTAAGTGTGTGGGTTCGAATCATCCGTGTGGATCCTCCTGATTTTCTCAGTCAAATAATTCTCGTCTCTCCTCCAGTTTTTTTATGGACATAGCGTGCACCAAATCACACACTATTTGCATATAAATAATCCATTACCACTTCATAGAATACAATAGAAGGATATAACATTACAGTCCAAACCAGGATAGCGTAGCCTAGACCAAACCAGGATAGCGTAGCCTAGACCAAACCTGGATAGCGTAGCCTGGACCAAACCTGGATAGCGTAGCCTAGACCAAACCTGGATAGCGTAGCCTAGACCAAACCTGGATAGCGTAGCCTAAACCAAACCTGGATAGCGTAGCCTAAACCAAACCAGGATAGCGTAGCCTAGACCAAACCAGGATAGCGTAGCCTAGACCAAACCAGGATAGCGTAGCCAAGACCAAACAGGATAGCGTAGCCTAGACCAAACCA